AGATAGATAGATAGATAGATAGATAGATAGATGATAGATAGATAGATAGATAGATAGATAGATAGATAGATAGATAGATAGATAGATAGATAGATAGATAGATAGATAGATAGATAGATAGATAGATAGATAGATAGATAGATAGATAGATAGATAGATAGATAGATAGATAGATAGATAGATAGATAGATAGATAGATAGATAGATAGATAGATAGATAGATAGATAGATAGATAGATAGATACATACATACATACATAGATAGATACATACATAGATAGATAGATAGATAGATAACTGTAGAGATTAAATAGTTGCCCTGCTGCAGTTTGATGGACAAATGTGGATTCTACAAAATAAAAATAATTAGTCTAGTTATTGAATCATAAACACAATCAGCTGATGAAGTAAAATGATGTATGCTCTGAATCAATGTGTGCTCAGTTATTTGTCACTTGTTTTTTTGTTTTCTGAGTTGGTGATTCACATGCCTAAATGTTGTTTTCCCAAAAATATCACACTGTACATGATATGCTCAAAGTTTTTGAGTTGGATTAAAATAAAATCATCTTCAGCTATACCGGTTTTATTTACTCTTTAAAAGTATAGTCTGTTTAACTTTGAGGTAAATTTCTGTTAGGGCAGCACGGTGGCGCAACTGGTAGAGCTGCTGCCTCTCAGCGAGCAGGTCCTTGGTTCAAACCCCGGTCCAGGGGCCTTTCTGGGTGGAGTTTGCATGTTCTCTCCGTGCATGCGTGGGTTTTCTCCGGGTACTCCGGTTTCCTCCCACAGTCCAAAAACATGCATGTTAGGTTAATTGGTAACTCTAAAATTGTCCCTAGGTGTGAGTGGGAGAGTGAATGGTTGTTTGTCTCGTTTGTCTCTATGTGGCCCTGTGATGGACTTGCGACCTGTCCAGGGTGTACCTCGCCCCTCACACAGTGATTGCTGGACATGGGCACCAGCGACCCCCGTGACCCAAAATGGAATAAGTGGGTAAAGATAATGGATGGATGGATGGATGGTAAATTTCTGTTAAATAACTGTTTAACAGAAATTGATGTAACTTTTTCACTGACATCGGTCATAGAGTTCTCGTATGGAAACAAAGGCTGAAGTCTAGGCTAAGCTAATGGCTAGCCAAATGAGTGCCTGCTTTAAAAAACTGTCAGGCTAATAAAACAATGCTTTTACAGAAATCATGTAATGGTCTACATTACTTGATATTAAATTTTTACATGACACCATTTGTTTTGTTTGTTGCTGTTTTCTCAAACAATCATTTGTGTTATTATGAGAGGTAGCCTTTAGCCTAGAGGAAGACTTTATGCCTGTTTACACTCCATGCTCAGCAGAGCTTAATTTGTAAACCAATCATGGCAGAATGCAAATAGCGAAGGGGGGGGGGGGGTGTGTCTGGGGGTCCTCCCCCACAAAATTTTGAATAAAGTAGATGTGATTTCCTTCATTTTAGTGTATTTAAATTGGTTGTTAAACATCTATGTTTACCCAACATTTTCAGTCAGGTCATCTGGTCAGTTTCTTTTTTTGTGCTGAAACATTTCGCTTTCAATCCAGAAGGCTTCATCAGTCAAGGAAACACACAACAAAACTGATTATTCCCCCAACAGCTTACTCCAAAGTGGAACAAACCAGTTTTGTTTGTGATAAGATGGTCTCATTGGTATGCCCCCTCTTCCGTTGCCGGCCCTCTTCCTTGTTGACACTCGTGTCAAACTGGTTGAAAACAACAAAGCAAAACTGGTTTGTTCCACTTTGGAGTAAGCTGTTGGGGGAAGAATCAGTTTTGTTGTGTTTCCTTGACTGATGAAGTCTTCCGGATCAAAGGCGAAACGTTTCAGCACAAAAAAAGAAACTGTCCAGATGACCCCACTGAAAAATTTTGGATTGTATACCTGGATTATTGAGCATGGACTTTGTTGTTCATCTATGTTTACCTACATTTGTAAACACTCTGGTTCTGTCAAGCATCCTCACCGCCCCCTGCCCCTAACTTGACGGTTTTGAGCACGACTCTTCTCCGTGGAATTCACTGTCCGACTCCACATGCGAAACCTCCAGGAACCTCCTCCATCTGTTCATGGTGGCTGCCTGCGTACGGCTGCCTGCGTATGGCTGCCTGCGTACGGCTGCCTGTGTATGGCTGCCTGGTAAGCTCGGCACTCACCCCCACCACTCTTTTAGAGTCTGTGATTTTGTTACGGGTAGAAGCAGAAATGGGGCAGCACGGTGGCGCAACTGGTAGAGCTGCTGCCTCTCAGCGAGCAGGTCCTTGGTTCAAACCCCGGTCCAGGGGCCTTCTGGGTGGAGTTTGCATGTTCTCTCCGTGCATGTGTGGGTTTTCTCCGGGTACTCTGGTTTCCTCCCACAGACCAAAAACATGCATGTTAGGCTGATTGGTAACTCTAAATTGTCCCTAGGTGTGAGTGAGAGAGTGAATGTTTGTTTGTCTCATTTGTCTCTATGTGTCCCTGTGATGGACTTGCGACCTGTCCAGGGTGTACCCCGCCCCTCGCACATTGATTGCTGGACATGGGCACCAGCGACCCCCGTGACCCAAAATGGAATAAGTGGGTAAAGATAATGGATGGATGGATAGAAGCAGAAATGTTTACTTGAAGAGGCAGATCGTATGTGTTATTAAGAAGCTTGTAAGTGGCTGTTGTGTTTAAAATGAGTGTTTACGTAATTATTTTCAGTTTACATAACCAATATAAGTTTTATTCATTCAAGGCAGTCATATTTGTCCATACCTTTATTATTAGTAAGCCTGAGAGCTACTGGATCCAAGCAAACAGTTACTGGAACACAGCCTGTCAAAATAAGAGTTTCCAGATCCTGTTCTGGCAGGATCTTGCTCAAATTAAGTCCTGATCATAAAGTAATACCTACCGATAACTATTTGATAGAAATCCACTTCAGTTAGCTAAGCAAACTTAGAAAACAAAAAAATGGTTAACTTGGTTAGTTTTACAGATATTGAGCTCAGTTTTAGTTTGGTAGTAGCTGAGAATCATTCCCAATACAACGTTTAAAGGATAACAGATTACAGGAGACTTTTACTCAAAACTTTACCATTATCTGTTGAAGTCAACCTTTTTTGTCTGTTAACAAAATATCTTGTGAAGTACTGGATGGATCTTAATAAGATATGAACATTATCATTGGATGTATCTATCTATACCTGATAAAATTTTATGGTTTAGTTGTTTGCTTTGCTCTGTCAACACATCTTTTAATAATAAAAAAAGTGACTCTACGGTACATTCAACAGTTTTACATGGTATGTCAAAATCTTTCAAAATCAACTTTAAAAAATGTGAGATGACATAAAATGTTGATCTGTTGCCAGAAATGTATCAGCTTCCATTTTATTTTGCTCCACTTACGCTTTTATATTTGGCAAAACACACCCATTGAAACAGCTTTATTTACGATTTTGTAAAAGATAATTTTTCACAAAATAATCTATTAATCTTACAAATCAGCCTCTTCATTAAATGCTTTGGGAGGTTTTAGCACAAAGTTTTATTTTTTGGTAAGAACTTTATTTCCTAACTTGCTGAGATGATATTGCAATCATGTCTACAAAAGAGGAAACTCAAAAAGGTAAAGGAAATTGTGTCATAACTGGAAAACCCGTGCAGGATATAAAAGTGTTAAACACATTTTCAGGTATTTATTGGTCACGTTCATTCATTCAACCTTTATTTATACAGGTTAATCCCATTGAGCTTTGGGGACTCATTTACAAGAGAGACCTGATTTTAACAAAGAGTGATGACAACAATGGACAACAAAACCATAAAATCATAAAAACAATCATAATCACAATCAAAAAAAGCATACAAATTGAGAAGAACAAATAAAAAGAAAATGGTATAACAAAACTACATTAGATGGAATTAAAAAAGGCAAACAAAAGAGGCTGTGAATATACAGCAACTTTGTCTTAAAATAGCATTTACAGTAATGGGTAAATTAGTTTAACGAGGTTAAAGATAATGTTATTTATTTATAGAAAATAGGTGGATTTTCTCCTTCTATCTACACAGAACCCAGTGGTTCTTCTGTGCATCAAACATTTACGTAAATTGGATCATCCCATTCAGTCTGCCAAGAAAATAAAAACGTGTTAAACTTTTTTTATGCTGCATTGGAGGAACAAAAAATTAAAAAAAACCTTTACATACCCATACGTTGCCATATACTGGTAAATGGTCAACATCAGCATCAATTCCAGTGCAGGGTAAATCATTGTAGTCCTCTGTCCTGGGGGAAGAAAGTAGAGATTAAAAATATGTTATACTTTATTAAAAAAAATACTATTTTGGTATTAAAAGTGAGTGATAGTTTAGCTTATTTTAGAGCTATGACCTTTTGGGTGTTGAGCTCTGAGCTCGTTCTGTCATGGTGCTCATGTTAGAAGCTGCCGTGTCTCCAGACCTCCCCCTGCTGGAAAAATATCAGCAAAGATTGAACTTTTCACAGAACCCTGTTAAACTCAACATATTCCCAGTGCTGGGTCAGCTTCTCATTTAATCTTGTTATAATGAAATTTTGAATCATGAAACATTATTTTAATTGAAATCATATGGCTCAACTTGTAATTAATTACATACTGATTGTTTGTTTGAGTTTCACCTAATAGACATACCGTATTAGAAATTTTCAAACAGTTTCAAAGCAAATACATTAGAGGGATATTTTAGATTGTTTGAAGTTGGGTTTTGTGGAAAACGTATGAACAATCAGTATCTTACCAGTTGTAGATAGCTCTTTAAGCAACCTCTGAGTGAGTCTTTTGGAGATTGATTAGAACAGGACAATTATGAGAAACTATAAGGATTTACACTTACAGTCTGACTTCTGAGTATTTGTGACCAGGCAACCATGAAGCTGTGTGACTGTGTTTTAAATGACCAGTTTATGAAAACATTGGTCCTTTTTTGTGTGCATTGCTTCTAAAGTTATATTCTTGGCAGTACACATTATTTCATTGACTACATCTATCAACATCATACCCGAATCAGATCGCTCTGTACCCACAATGGCAGCTGCCCTCACATTTATGATTTATTTTATTAACCTTTATTTAACCAGGTCAGTCCAATTGCGATTTCTTTATCAAGGGAAGCCTGGGCCTGAAGACAGTCTAAATATGCATGTTTTTTAAATGTAGGAGGAAATTGGAGTACTTGGAGAAACCCACACAAACATGAGGAGAACATGCAAACTCCACACAGAAAGACTTCAGGTCCTTACCGGGGATTAAACCCAGGATCTTCTTGCTGTGGGGCATCAGCACTAATCAATAAGTCATCATGCTGGATATTGAAATGAAGATAAACACTTATGTCTAATATTTATCATCATCATGATAAATTTTTTTAGATGTGAACCTTTGCCACAGATGTTTTCTGTCAGAGGAAACCTGCCCTGCAGGCGTCCAAACACAGCTCTAGCAGTCTTAAGACAGGTTGGAGGTGCTTGAGACGAAATCCAGGTGGGTTCAATATGAGTTGGAGATGCCCACGACAGTGATTAATTTTAAAGAAGATTTGTTAATTGACCACTGGAAGTAAGCACCAGTGAGATACAACCATAGTGGGTCCTCTGAGCAGCACCAAGACTAAAGTAAATTGCTGCAGCCCTACAAAAACTCTAAACTAAACAATTTTCCAGTAGTTCATGCTAAGGTAGTTTATAAATACCACCATCAATTTTGCATTGCACAGTTATTCAGGTATTATGATATTCCTGCAGGAAGTACTCCAGACTCCACTAGAAGGGCTACAGCTAGCTGCTGCCACTATTTGGGTTAGCAATTATCCCAGTAATTTCTATGAACTGTATAACCATGTAGTGTGGAAATGAGGTTTATAAAACAGGGTTCACAAGAACAGGACAGCACGGTGGTGCAGTTGGTAGACCTGCTGCCTATCAGCAAGCAGGTCCCCCTGATTCAAATCCCAGGCCCGGGCGTTTCTGGGTGGAGTTTGCATGTTCTCTCCGTGCATGCGTGGGTTTTCTCTGGGTGCTCCGGTTTCCTCCCACAGACTAAAAACATGCATGTTAGGCTGATTGGTAACTCTAAATTATCTCTAGGTGTGAGTGAGAGAGTGAATGGTTGTTTGTCTCATTTGTCTCTTTGTCCCTATGATGGACTGGAGACCTGTCCAGGGTGTCCCCCACCTCTTGCACAGTGATGGATGGACATTGGCACCATTGACCCTCATGACCCGAACAGAACAAGAAGAAGCGGGTAAGGATAATGGATGGAAGGATGGATGGATGCATGGATGAAGTTGTTTAAGACAAAGATGTTAAGACAACTGAGACAACTACTCACTTTAAACTTGGTGCTGCTCAAACTACTCATTAACTCAATAAACCGGTCAGAATAAAACTGAATTTCTCTGAAGTGAAGACATTCAAAGAGCTATATCTACAACAGGTAAGATATTAACTGGTCAAACCTTTTCCGCAGAACCTTACTTTAAAAGATCCAACCTTTCTCTTCAGGTACATTCAACAAATTTTAAACTACTAACACAATGTAATTTTGTTAAATTCACAATCTTATCATTTTACATTATGAAGCACACCTTTAGAGATAAAAACTTGTTTTTTTTATTTTTTAAAACCTCACTATTTGTAGAAAAGAGCTAAAAACACTTTGCAAAGAGGTTGGGAGAGCCTTGGTAGCTGAAGGTCATCCCAACACATGCATAACATGCTAACAGATCACGTGAGATCTTGCCATGTCGCACGAGACTGTGCATGTCATTTACATGGTTGGACAAAAATGTTCAACACTCAATGGAAAGTATTAACTTTTTAACTCACCATTTAGACAAAACTCCAACTGTTATCAAAAGCAGCACTAAGACCCCTGCTGCTCCAGTGGCAATGATGATAATCCAACTCTTTGTCAAAACTGAAATTACACATCGTGTTTATATTTCTAATCTCCATAATATAATAAAATTTGTTCTTTAATATTTTGCACTGTTGAAGTTTAAAATTCATACTATCAGCATGTAAAGGTAGCAGGAGATTCGCACTGCCCTGCGTGTTGTTTGCCCAGCATTGCACAAACTCAAAGGATTCAAAGACTTCCTGCTGGGCCTTGATAAAATAAGAACCATTCTCCTTTTTTGTGGTGCCCTGCAGAATTTTGTCACCAAGCTTAAAAGTAACTCTGCCGGGAGGATTGGAGTCCACGACGCACTCACACTTCACCCAGTCGGCCTCTGAGAAGCACAAAGACTCTTTGTTAATCTCAGGAGCATCTGTAAAGACAGGACATCTGGTTATAGTAGAGGAGTTCATCTATCTGGTGATTTACTCCTCAGAATATTATTGGTTACTCACACAACACGTTTAAGCGCACAGGGATTGATGTGACTCTGCCCACTTCGTTGATGGCAGTGCAGTACAGCGCTCCTAAATGTCTTCTGACGTTGGGCATGACGTAGAGGTTTCCCTGATAGAGCCATGCCCCGGTTTCATTACGCCATTCGTAGCTGCTGGCAGGAGGGTGAGCATCACTGGAGCAAGTCAGCCCCACAGTCTGGCCTTCTCTAACGTCTGACACGTACTCAACATTTACATTCATCGGGGCATCTGCAAGAAAACAATTAATTATAACAAGAGAGAGTTCATTGTAGATATGGATGTTTGTATAAATTACAGCAGAGGAAGCGTGTATCTTCTTTATTCACAAACCTCATGCACAAAATAAAACTTGAGAAATTGCATTTCCTGTAAAAATGCAGTGTGAATGCTTATTGCAGAAGAACTTGCTGAAAAACTGCTGAAATCAACTAAAAACATGCTGAAATGTAGCTGAAATTGAAGAACAAACTAAAGTTAGCAAAAGAAAGCAGAAAGAATACATATTTGCTAAATTGGATTTAAATGAGCAGAAATTATCATAAAAATAGGAAATTATCTACAAAAGAGCTGAAATCAGCAAAAAATAAATAAATAAATATATATAGCTGAAAAGTAGTTGAAAAGGCAGAAAGAAGCTCAAACTACCAGGAGGAAGTGGAAAGAGCTGAAATGAGCTTAAAAAAGTGGATATTAGTTGAAAAAGCTAAATTTAGCACAAAACAGCTAAAATCTGGCTAAAATAGCAGAAAAAGCTGAAAGGAGCTGAACATAGTAGAAAGAAGTTAATTAGGCTGAACGTAGCAGAAATGACCAAAAATAACTTCAATTTATTTGAAAACAGCAGAAAATAGCTGAAAATGTTAATAAAAAGTAGCTGAAAAGGTAAAACAAGTTCAAATTAGCAGAAGAAAGCAGAAAGAACATGTTTACCCAATTAGGCTGAAAAAAGCAGAAATGAGCACAAAAAAGTTGAAATTATCTGCAAAATGCTGAAATTAGCACACACACACACACACACACACACACGCACGCACGCACGCACACACACACACACACACACACACACAAGCACACACAAAAAAAACCCAGCTGAAAGCAGTTAAAAATTTCTAAAAGAAGCTTAAACTACCAGAGGGAAGTGGAAAGAGCACATTTTTTATTAATTAGGCTGAGAAAAGTTGAAAAGAGTGCAAAAAAAAATGTGGAATTAGCCGAAAAAACTAAAATGAGCACAAAACAGCAAAATACCTAAAATAGCAGAAAAAGTTGAAACTAACAGAAATAAGATGAAAGGAACATAACAAGCTAAAATTAGCAGAAATAAGTTAGAAGAAGAACAAAAATGTTGTAGTTATCAAAAAGAATCTAAAAGTGACACAAAGCGGCTGAAAAAAACAGCTGAAATTAGATGAAAGTAGCTGAATTCTTTTTAAAATTTGCACAAGAAAGTGGAAAGAAGCTGAACCAGATCAAAATGTGAAAGTGGCAGTAAAAGGTCAACAGATCTAAAGATATGAAGGATGTAAAATGAGCTCAATTTATTTTCTATGAGAAAAAGTGGCAGAAAAGACTAAATATTTCAAAAAGCTAAAATTGCACCAAAAGTCATGAGCTGAACATTTGGTATATGAGTTGTTGAAATAGCACAAAAATTGTGAAAGGAGAAAGATCCCGAAAAGCGTATGGAAGAAAAATGGATCAAAATAGTGCGAATGCTTCATAAGCATTCACACAACAAGTTGTAGTTGTGGTGGCAGTCTTTTTAAGCTTTAGGTAACAGGCACAACCACACAGAGAACTGTTTATACCATTAAAGATGGCTCACAACACAGTTACACCCAAACCAACCTGTTAAATTATCCTCTATTTAAAGACACTTCAGGTGAGTACAAAGCAGGTCAAGACACGTGAAATGCAGCGTGCAGAACAAAGTGAAGACATGCTACAAACACGAAACAAGTGGGAGTCTAAATATGGGAACCAACAAGTTCAACAAAACAGGATCAAACAAAACCCCTGCAGACAAATCAACAGGCAAGAACTAACCTGTTTCACTCACCACTCTTCTGTCCTGTGGATTATTTTATTTAAACTAAATGTCAATGGTTTTTATTAATAGCCCTTCCAGTAAACAGATATAACAGAAAATTGCACGATATCGTTTACAAGGTTTGATCAAAATAGCAATAACTTTATCCATCTTTAGTTTAAAACTCTTTGATGAAAGGTGGAAGGTGATTTGCATTTCTTCAGGGAAGGCTGGACCTTGTTTGTGGTATCTGGCATTGCTATGGGGGATGTGGTAGCTTGGCGGTCACTGGTCTTGTAATGCTGAGGTTGTGGGTTCCAGCCCTGGTGCATCAGGAAGGGCATCCAGTGTAAACCAATTGCCAAATCTTTCATGCGAGTTTGCTCACTCTGGCAACCCCTGAAGAAAGGAGCAGCTGAAAGAACCTTATTGATATGAATCTACTAAAGGTTTTAGTTGTGTTTATCTTGAATTCAAAAATGACAAGAAAACATAAAATTATTGCATTTTTTTAAAATAAAAAGTGCCAGATCTTTGTTTGTTAACCCCTGATGAAAAAGCCACCTGCTTCTATTTGTATTTTTACGCCGTTTGATGAAAGCTGAATGAGTTCTGCAGATGTTATAAAGCCAATAAAAGAGGGTTTGAGGTTTAAACCTGATGGAAAAACAAGCAGACAGAGTTTGATGACCTCAGTGAGTGGACAACACGCAGAACACGTCACGGTCTTTCTCCCAGTGCAGATAAGAACAGGATGACTGTAAATCCTGTGACTGTGACTGAGTTCAAGAAGTCGGACTGTATTTATACACACGTTTGTGGCTACGACTATTTCCACAGTGATGCAAATGCAAAACCAATCTATCACATAATGCCTTCCCAACATGTTGCCTCTTCTGCTTTTTGGCCTCGATGTGGCTGGAGTGGCTTTGAATTATTTTAAACTTTTTAACTTCTCTTTCTGATTTGATTTTCTTCGGCTGCTATTGTTTTGTGACTTAACAAATGCGATGGACACTCACATTTCACTTGAAGGATCTTGGATTGTTTCTGTTTCTGACCTCCCTTGTGTGTGACGCTGCACTGTAACGGCTTGTTGTGGTCGGCGCGCGTCGGGTGAAAGGTCAGGACGGACGTCGCGTTCCACCGGCCGCCACTGAGCTGATGGGACAGATGGTGCTCTTCTCCTGAGTGGCTCCATTTGAAAACAGGAGGAGAGTCGGGGCAGGAGTGAGACACGGAGCAGGAAGCAGAGGCCGTTTCGTTCTCCTTCATCTCGTCTTTCACAGAGAACTGGATGGGATCCGGTTTACCTGCATTCACACAAGAGATCACAGCAGTTACAGCGATTCTACATGTCCAATCACTGGAGAAGGTCCTCTGTTTAATGAGACTCTATTCAGCTTGATCAGATATTTATAGGCAATATTATTGTCGCTTGTGTGTGTATATATTTGTAAATTTTGTATGTTCATTTGTTTATTGTTAGCAAAATAGATCATAAACCGCTGAACAGATCCTAATCAAACACCCAGAAAGTAATTGTTGGGTGGGCTTCTATAATCGGTTAACTTTTAGTGCCAAACCAGTTTAAAATGGCTGCCACAGCTAATCAACACTAGCCAACATAACTCACTTAGTTAGTCTTAGATATTGAGCTAAAATTTGGTGGTAGTAGCTGATATTCATATCCGTGATGCAAGTACACTGAATACTAACACATTTCATGAGGTCTCGCAGCATCGCTTGAATGACATCTCACATTCTGTGAACTTCCCAAACCAGTCAAATTAAACAATCTCACAAAAACACTGTTAACACTGACTAGAGGATTTTAGAATTACAAGAACAAGAATTTAAAAAATCCTAATTTATTTAAGAGATTTTCTTCAAACTAGCCATTCTGAAAAAAACAAAACAAAAAACAGTTACCATGTTTTAATATTCTTAGTTTGATCTCAAGTTTTAATGAAGCGCAGTAATTTCCCTTAAACTATGCATCTTATTTTCATATTTTACATACTCATAAAAAAATAAAACATTATAAGGCTATGCCTGCAATGAGGAACAGAGACTTGAGCACAGAAACTACAGTATAATTAGCATTGTGGTTTGCTCACTCTTTGCATTTGAGGTTTTACTGTCACAACTTGAATTTGTTTTAAGATATTCGAACAGAGAAATTTGGTTTGAAATTATAGACATAAAACTTGTTTTATTGTCCTTTATTTCTTCGGTGTCGAGCAATAATATTTTTACCCTGGTTGTTTTGCTGACCCCCGTCGCAGAGTGAAGAGGGGTGATTGGAAATGCTCTACATCCGTCTGTCCATCCATGCATGTCATGATACCTTGAAAAATAGGTGAGATACTGACTTCCATTTTGGTGTGTGCCTACATCTAGGCATAAGGAAGTTTCCATCCATCCATCCATCCATCCATCCATCCATCCATCCATTATCTTTTACCCGCTTCTTCCATTTTGGGTCGCGGGAGTCGGCTGTGCCCATGTCCAGCTATCACTGTGTGAGGGACGGGGTACACCCTGGACAGGTTGCAAGTCCATCACAGGACCACATAGAGACAAACAACCATTCACTCTCTCACTCACACCTAGAGACAATTTAGAGTCAGCCTAACATGCATGTGTCTGTGGGAGGAAACCGGAGTACCTGGAGAAAACCCATGCATGCACGGAGAGAACATGCAAACTCCACCCAGACAGGCTGCCGGAACGGGATTTGAACCGGGAACCTGCTTGCTGAGAGGCAGCAGCTCTACCAGTTGTGCCACTGTGCTGCCTATAAGGAAGTTTCCTTTCAAAAATTGTGTAGACATGTCAAAAGCCAAGATGGCTGCTGCCATATACAGTATGTTTATAAGTTAAACTGTGAACTGGATAACTGACTAATCTCTCTCTCTCATATATA